TCCCAGAGAGAGGGGTGGAGACCTTGGGGCTTCAACAAAGATGCTCTGAAAAGCACCTACCCCATGGTGTTAACTGTGATACTGCTGTTGGTCAGAAAGCTGTCCCCGCCCCCATAACCACAGGCAGGAAGGCATACCTGGAATTAGGAGAGAGTAGCTTCCTGGAAGTGAAGGATTTGGGAATACTGTTTGCAGTGATGACCACAGTCCCTAGGCCTGTTGCTGGCACTCCCATGCCCTGCTGATCCAATGCTCCCTGTGTGGGCTCAGCCTCATTCCTCTCCTTTCCTACTTTTTGGATGCTTCATGATGCCTGAGTAGGGCTGGGTGGTCCCCTGCATCTTTAATCTCTTCTGTAAGTATTCTTGTTCACCTTCTGCCTCAAATGAAGAGCAGCCTTCCCCGAGGAGTACAGATCCCTGTGCCCTTTCACAGACTATTTTCCTTGATGCTCTTGTACTCCAAGTCCAGGTCAGGTAGGTGGCTTTCTTCTCCTTGTTCTTATTCTTATGTGACTCTTCTTCCCTCCTTTCCATTTGGAGCAGCAGCTTCATCCCCTTATTGCTGTGTTACACCAACCTCTATCATGCAGATCTGGCCTCCTGTTTCATCTTTCTCCTCCCCATCACTATTCCAATTATTGTCCCGGTAGCTTCAATGTCCATGTAGATAACCCAGCCTGCATTCTCCTCTCTGAGACCCTTGACTTCCCAACTTTGGCAGTCTAACCTCCCACCCACTCCCACAATTACATCCAGGAGCTCATCAGTACCAAGAACTGACACCCCCTGAAATCTGCTTCAAGCATCCAACCCTCTGACCACACACTTGACTTTTTGGTTCACACACTGTTACCCACACTGCAACATGGCTCACCCCACTGACACCCTAAAACTATGAGCTCCACTGCCTATTTCCACTACCCATTATCCACCTCTGTCTTCTCTCCTGTCATGGGCTAAATTGTGTTCTCCCAAAATTCCTAAGTTGAAGTCCTAACCCTCAGTATCACAGAATGAGACTGTATTTGGAGATAGGGTCTTTATTGAGGTAACTGAAGTCATTAGGATGGGACCTAATACAACATGATTAGTGCTCTTATAAGAAGAGGAGATTAGGACACAGTGAAAAGACTATGTGAGGACACAGGGAGAAGACAGCCAGCCACAAGCCAGGGAGAAGAACCTCAAAAGAAACTAACCCCATCAATACCTTGATCTCGGACCTTTAGTCTTAGACTAAATAAATTTCTGTTCTTTAAACCACTCAGTATGTGGTACTTTGTTATGGCAGCCTTAGAAAACTCAGTTTAGATTCCAACATTATACACATTCCCTTGCCACACCTTCCCCCCTTTCACTCAGTCATAATCACCAACCGTGGCTGAACCTGATGACCTACCTTCTCCTTGCCTGAACCTGAGGAGCTGAATATTGTGGAGGAGAATTGTAAAACAATGCTGATTAGTTTTTCCAAAATGTATAACCCCAAGTCCTCAAATATGAGCTCAAAATAGTCCATGAATCTTATCAAGTTTCATGAGTAAGCTCTCTTTCCCACTTTCCAAGAGGCTATTTCATGCATTCTCTTTTGTCTTCAGAATCCCATCTTCTGCCTCTCTGCTCATCTGAGACCAGACACCACCAGTTGGGAACATTTTCACACTTCTGCCACCACGGCACAGTCTTACAGACCTTGTGCTCAAGTTTCCATTTTCCTTGCACCAAAAAAAAAAAAAAGGCCTCTTATTCCCTGGCTCCTTTTGTTTTTTCAAAAATGCTACCCCCCCCATTTATCTCTTCCCTCCTGATTAACAGTTCTGTTATAGGATTATGTCCATGTGTTTGTCTGCATACAACCATGCCCTTGCCTTTCCCACTAAAAACACTTCCCTTTACCTTATCCTCTTGCAGCAACTTTCCCACTTTCTGCTCCTTTTATTTATTTATTTTTTAAAAACATTTTATTGATTTATTATTAGAGAGAAGGGAAAGAACAGAGAGAGGGAGAAAAACATCATGTGAGAGAGAAACATTGATCAGTTGCCTCTCCTATGCATCCAGATGGGAGACTGAACCCAAAACCTAGGCAAGTGCCCTGATAGAATATTAAACAGGCCACCTTTCACTTCGTGGGATGATGCCAACTGAGCCACACCAGTCAGGGCATTTTCCTGTTTCCTTTAATACCAAAATGACGTAAAAGAGCCATCCACACTTACTGATTGTACTCATTGATCTCATCAACAATTTATTCCTTCTGTTGGATCACTACCGTCAGCATACAACAATTCATTCTTCCTACTATTTCAGTCTGACCTTTGTGAAAGTCACGGATGACTCTTCCTTGAGCTCTCAGCAGCATTTGGTGTGGTTGGTCACTTCCTCCTCCCATCTTGGATCTTTATGTCTCATCTGGCTTTCTCTTGGCTCCAGGGCTGCTCTTTCTCAATCCCCTTAGCATCTTTCTCTGCCTGACCTCTGAGGCACCGTTTTTCTGCTTCTAGATGATCTCACCCAGGTCAATGACTTTAAATATAATTTAAGTGCTGATGACTCTCAAATTTATATCTCTGTACTGATCTCTTTCTTGAGTTCCAGATGCATAAATTTAATCTGATGTCTCCACTTAGATAACTCAAGGCATCTCAGCCCTGACATACCTGGAAAGGACTTCTCCATTTTATAGCCACCTCCTCAACCTGGTCCCATCTCAACAAATAGAACCACCATCTACTCAGTTGCTCAAATCAAAGATCTAGGAACACTACTCAATTCTTTTATCCTTCCTTTTCTACTTTGAACTATGTTTAGATACCACTCATGTCTTTACATCTTCCCCCTCAACCTTAGCCCAAGCTGCCATAGTATTTTACTTTGACACTGATATTGTTTTTTAAATAGTTTCCCCATTTGCCTTCAATGGGAAAGGGCTGCTCCAGAGAAGAAGGCTCCTCAAAGTATTGGTTTCCTGCTGTGCAGATGACACAGTTAGTGCTAAATGGATTTCCAAAGGAAAGAAATGTGCATCCCCCTTTTCTCTGTCGTGCTTCCCACAGAAACAGTACTTCCATTCAGAAAGCCAGATCGAGTGCCATTAACAAATTAATTCCAATTAGTACAGCTCAAGCACTGAGACCTCAAGACAATCCCAGCAGTCCTGCAGGAAGATGGCTTGGCCTTGCCTGCTAATAAAGTGGAAACCGTACTGGAAGCAGAAGCAATTATTTTGATGCCTGTCATTGTCCCTGGAGGGGAGAGGGTTGGATTTGATTACACCATGGTCTCCTAAGGGAATTAACTGACTTTCAAATGATAAGTTATTAATTCCTCAACTTGGCACTTAGGTCGTGAAAACAGGCTCAGCTCTCAAACTCCCTTGTGGCCCTTGCAACTCCTTGTTTAGAACCAAGCATTCACATGTGTCCAATAAGTGAATGAAAGGATAGTTAATTGGTAACTGGGAAATAAGTCTGGGGCCCAGCATCCTTAATAATCCTTCAGTATTTCATTTAACAAATATAATTGAACCTTTACTGTATTTGGCACAGTGAGTTAAAAGTTAAACCAAACAGATAAGGTCCTGGATCTCCTGGATCTTACTGACTGGGAGAATTTGAGGTGGGGCAAATAATCAGCATGAATCAAAGAAATGAAAAGCTGACTTTGGCAAGTGAGAAATATAATCTAGATAAGAAAATAGGACAAAGTGACAGAATATGATTGAGGAGAAATGTTCAAGGAGGTCCTTAGGTGGTGACAAATGACCCAAGCTCTGGATAGTGCAAAGACCCAGCCAGGCCTGTGGGAAGAACTTTCTAGGAAGAGGGATCAGACAAGGCAAGTGCCTATTGTCAGAGAGCCAGGTCTCCCTACCTCCTCATTCTCCCCGTACATTCAGCATGGCCATCCTTACCAGCCATGTTGCTGTCCTCATGGTACTGGGCAGGGTAGATATCCCTGGTGGGCAGTTGGTTTTGCCCACAGTCAGTCTGCCAGCCTTAATGCTATGCATCCCTCCTGTTGCTCTAATGTCACAGGGATTTGCACAATTTCCACCTTTTCCAACAAAACCTTTTGAAAGCTTCCCAATTAGAAGGGCCACCTTCCTGCTCTGAAGTCCTGAAACAGTTATTTGGCACCTGCTGTCTCTATTACCTTACATTACTAGATGTCATATTACCATGTATTTGAGCCTGCTCCATCATGCCCATTCCTATCTAGTGGCCTCAAGGGTAGGTGCTTCTTCCTATCTCTTACACTCCCCAGGCCTATCCCAGGTCCTCTGCAAGACATTTAGTGAGTCTAGATGGACACCTGGCCAGATGAAAACCTGAGAGGAAGATGGAGGCTCATGGGAGTCTCACTTCTCATCCAGGAGTCTCTAACATAGGCAGGAAAGGAAGGCTCTTCATCCAGTTCCTTGGAAAAAAGTGGGCCTCGGGTTTGAAAAATAGTTTCCAGAGATGACTTTAAAATGTTATGGCAATACTAGATTTCTTATAGGTATGCTTGGAAACTTTCAGCTTAAAGATGAAAAGTTTTAGGACCAAAAATTCATGTAAAGATGGCACCATCCCAGAGGTGGGCTCCATCCCAACTCTTCATCTGACAGCTCTCCCAGTAACTCAGACCCTCCCAGTAAGAGCCACCCCTGCCAACAAGTAAAACACAATTGCTAAATTGCTGCAAGCCTTCCTCCAGCTTGAAATTTTCCTGCCCCCAGCATTTTCAGACACCTCAGGATTCCAGTGCTAGTCAGCTTCACCCCAAAAGCTAGGGTATTGTCAGATAATATAAGAGGGTACCAAAAGTGCCTTCATCGTCAAGGCACCTTGGCTGACAGCAATGCTTGCCTCTGGGGCCTGAGTTGGAGGGAGGTTTCAGCTCCCCATGCAATGGCAAATAGGGATGAGGCATGACGCCCAACTCTGGAGGAGGAAAAACCAATGGGCTCAAAGGTGAGATGAATGTGGAGATGCACTGGGCACTGCTGCTGACCTTTCACAAGGACTGTCCTGGCCTCAGCCCACTGGCTCCTCCCGTCTGATGTCAGCAGGCCGATTGGAGGCAAGCGTTCATCCTCGTTGGAAGCCATTTTGACTATCTTTCTCAACTGAGTGAAGAGATCCCCCTCACTGAGACGGCGGAAATTAATGACAACATCCAAGACAAAGAACTGTGGGGGAAACAGGTCAAACACATCATTCATGGCAGCCAGCCCACAGTGCCAAGCCTTCACTGAACCTTCACATTTGAGAACAAATGGAGATGGTCAGGCCCAAGGTTGCCAAGGTATGTGATGGTTTTGAATAGTCACAATTTGGGGACCAGAATTCTGTCAACTGTGTTAGACTCCTCCAACCTGCCCCAATTGAACTTAGTCCAGCCTAGACTTAGCTAAAAGACCATTTGCTTTTGTGGTTCCTAGTTCATATAAAGGCCATCGTGTTTTGGGAAATTGAATATAAATTGGTACAATCACTTTTGGGGGGAAATTTCTATTAAACTAAAAATTTAGTTTAGTTTAATAGAAAACTAAGAGCAACTCAGCAGTTGTTCTTATAAATACATATTTTAGCCTAAGGCTTAGAAAACATATGCCTTTGTGCCCCAAAAGATGTACAAATGAATGTACATATTAGCATTACTTGCAGTAGCAAAATGGTAGAGGAGCCTAAATGGCTCCTGTAGGAAATGGCTAAGTAAAATGTAGTATACTTGTCCAGTGCATGTCTACCTAGCGGTTGAAAGAAATAAAATAGCTCCATATAAGCTTAGGGATAGATCTCAAACACACAAGTAGAGAGAGAAAAAAGCAAGGAGGTCTCAAGACTCTATAAAGCTGTTTTTCTGGTGTATAGTCTCTTAGAAGGCCATAGCTTGGGTGATTGCATGTGGAGGTCTGAGGCCATGCTGGGTCTCATTAATGACCCTGAGTCTATCCATCCAGGCAACTATTTTGACCTGACCTTCCTGGTCAGGGCTGGAATAAGAGCACAGTGAAAGTGTTTTCAACTGATGACCCTCCTCATTCTTAAAACCTAACCAGTGGAGAGAAATGGATTTAACAGGGAGTAAGGAGGCCCCATTTTGGGGCCACTGGGGGCTGAGCACCCTTGGGAAATCAGGAATGGATAAACACACAGGTGCCCTTCCCAACAGCAAGAGGCCGCTTACCTGGTTGCAGCAGGCCACAATGATATGTTCTGGCTCAGGCATGACACTGCTCTTCTGGGACACCAGTGTGTCCTGGGTGTGGCCAGGGAGACGGTAGGAGGAGAAGAGCCCATAGTATTGCTTCATACAGAGCTGCTGCCCAGAGAGCTGGCCCTTGGCACAGTCAGTGGGGATGGAGTGACTGGAAGGGGAGAGTGGGGAGGGAGGGAGGAAATCAGAATTGGTTCTACTGTAACCTAATTAGGCAAAGCAGGACAAAAAAAAATCATCATTTCTTCTAGAAGCATCTCTGAGTTCAAGAAAGAAAATTCTCTTTTTCCTGTGGTCTCAGCATGTCTTATTTTCTACCTCCCTCCCACTCCCTCCTCCTTTTTCTTTCCCTCTATTTCTCTCTCCTTCCTTCCCTCCATCATTTCAGACAACAAATATTACTGAGCATTGTGATGGCAGTCAAAGAGCTTGACTCCTTACTTTTAAAGTAGTGGAATTCCCCATTTCCATGCCCAAGAAGACCCTCGGGGTTTTCTCACATCTTCATTAGAGTCCCTTACCCCTGCCTCATGCACTACAGTGCAGACCTTACTATTTTAGCCCCCTTTGCCTTTGCTTATGCTTATCTTTGCTTGGCATATCTTCACCCCAAACTTGCATTCAACTAATTGTTTAGAAAACCCTTTCTACTCTTATAAGAACCTACTCCTCTAGAAGCATCTCTGAGTTCAAGAAAGAAAATTCTCTTTTTCCTGTGGTCTCAGCATGTCTTATTTTCTACCTCCCTCCCACTCCCTCCTCCTTTTTCTTTCCCCCTATTTCTCTCTCCTTCCTTCCCTCCATCATTTCAGACAACTAATATTACTGAGCATTTCTTTGTGCCAGGCACCATTCTGGGATCTGGGGTATAGCAACTAACAAGTCATGAGTTTACTACTTTAAAGGGATGCAGTGAAAAAGCAGAAAATTGGTAAATGTGAGGGTTTCAGATAGAGATTCAGGGTGGCAAGGAGGAATGGCTAAGGACAATCTTACTGATGATGAGATGTGTGAGCCTCTTGTCATCAGTAAGATGAGGCGAGAGGCTCATCTTACCCCCCTGAGGGTAAGAGGCAGCCATGAGAAGAGCTGAGGCCCATCCAGGGGTCCAGGTGGGTGCCCCATGACATTTCTGCTCCAGGTGTGGGTATTAAACTAAACTGTAATGACCAACCTATAACAGGGTGAGTATGGGAATCCAGAGGGAGCTTTCAGAAATATTGTACTAGCTGAAAAGAGAAATTTTATGTTTGTTGAATATAATAATAAAAGTGGTTTCATCACGTCAGAACATGAAACAAGTCTTGACAAATTTAAGAAGACTGAAACCATATGAAGCATCTCCTGTGACCACAGTGTTTTCAAACTAGATATCAATTACAAGAAAAAAAGCTGAAAAAACACAAACACATGGAGGCTAAATAATATGTTACTAAACAATGAAGGAGCTAATAATGAGATCAATGAAGAAATCAAAAGATACCTTAAGAGGGGACTTCCGCCAAGATGGAGGCGTAGGTGGAAACACTGTACCTTCTCACACAACCAAGTTTAAAGACAACAAAATTTTAGTTAAAAAAGGTGCAACCAAAACACAGAAAATTAAACTATACCAAAGTCCAACAACAATGAGCCCTTCAGCCACACCACTAAGAGAGACGGAGCCAGCGGCTGGCGGAGTGGGGTTGCACAGGAAAACGCGGTCAGACCGACCCAGGCCCTCGGTAGGTGGTTGGGGAATTCCCAGGTGTGGGGTGGTGGACCCAGTGAGGGCTGGGGGTGGCAGGCTGACCCGGGTCACACATTCCAGGGCAGATAAACCAGCAAAAAAGAGAGCATTGAGACAGACCACGCAGGCCCAAGCGGCGGGAAGCAGCAGAGGGGACTGCTGTTGCCCTGCTCTGATCCTGCCCCCACATACAGCATCACAACCCAGCCACTTGGGCAGACCCGCCCCCCCCGGTGAACACCTAAGGCTCCGCTTCTCATACGTGAGGGCGAGAACAGACCAAATGTGGCTCAAGAAGAACTCAAAGTCCCAGAGCCCATAACTCTAAGTGACGAAGAAATAGCCAAACTTTCAGATGCACAGTTCAAAACACTGGTGATCAGGATGCTCACAGAACTGGTTGATTTTAGCCACAAATTAGAGGAACATATGAAGGCTAAATTAATTGAAATGAATGGAAATGCACAGGAAACCAATAGTAATGGAAAGGAAACTGGGACTCAAATCAATGGAGTGGACCAGAAAGAAGAAAAAAAATGACCAAACAGAAAAATATGAAGAAACAAGAATTCAAAAAAAAAAAGGAGGAGAGGCTTAGGAACCTCCACGACATCTTTAAATGCTCCAACATCCGAATTATAGGTATGTGTACCAGAAGGGGAAGAGGAACAGCCATGAGTGGAAAGCTTATTTGAACAAATAATAAAAGAGAATTTCCCCAATCTGCCAAAGGAAATAGACTTCCAGGAAATCCAGGAAGCTCAGAGAGTCCCAAAGAAGTTGGACCCAAGAAGGAACACACCAAGGCACATCATCATTACATTAGCCAAAATTCAAATGAAGGAGAGAATCCTAGAAGCAGCAAGAGCTAAGGGGACAGTCACCTACAAAGGAGTTCCCATCAGACTGTCAGCAGATTTCTCAAAAGAGACCTTACAGGCAAGAAGGGGCTGGAAAGAAGTATTCCAACTCATGAAATCCAAAGACCTACACCCAGAATTCATCTATCCAGCAAAGCTTTTCCTTAGAATGAAAGGGGAGATAAAGTGCTTCTCAGCTAAGGTCAAGTTCAAGGAGTCCGTCATCACCAAGCCCTTATTATATGAAATGTTAAAGGGACTTATCTAAGAAAAAGAAGATAAAAAAGATGAACAGTGAAAGGACAGCAAACTCACAGTTATTAAGAACCACACCTAAAACAAAAGCAAATTAAGAGGAGAGCTAGATCAGGACTGGTACCATAGAAATGAAGATCACATGGAGGGTTAGCAACAGGGGAGTGGGAGAAGGAGAATGGGGGAGAAGGTACAGAAAATAAGTAGATAGAAAATAGATAGTGGGGAGGGTAAGAATAGTAGGGGAAATATAGAATCTAAAGAACTTGAGACACGTGTTCATGAACTAAAGGAGGGGAATGGTGGGGGAGAGGTGTGCAGGGTGGAAGGGAATGAAGGGGGGAAATAGAACAAATGTAATGGCATAATCAATAAAATATATTTAAAAAAAGAGATGCATATCAGTAGTTATAAAATCATCACAGGGATATGTAGTATAGCAATGTAGTCAATAATGTTGTAATACTATGTATGGTGCCAGGTGGGTAGTGGAAGTATAAGGGGAACACTTTGTAAAGTATATGATTGTCTAAGTACTTATCTGTACACCTGAAATTAATACAAAATAATATTAAATGTAAATTATAATTGAAAAATAAAAAATATAAAATTAAAATCTAATATTTTTTAAAAGTGGTCTCATATTTTGTACTTTTGTACCATTTTCTACTAATTCATTTTGTAGTGTTTTACAAACATTTCACAAGATTTAAAAGAACACTGCAGATTGTTCAATGAACACTGGTTTAAGGCAGAAAGGAAAGTGGGGTTGAAGCCAAGTAAAAAGGCTCAGAATGAGGAGACTATTTTCCTCAAGTAGCAGGTGGCAAGATTAACTCTCCTTTCTCTACCTTCTTGTGTGTTCTCTAGATTCCTGATATACATACTCTTGTGTACATGTAAGGTATGGAGGAATGGGAGCATTTTTAGAAGATCAAGGTAGAATAGTGCTTACACTAGGAAAAGAAACTGTTAACAGTTGGGCCAGGGAGAGTAAAGGTCATCCTGACTTTGGCAGGAGGTAGGGTCCTATTTACTCCTGACAGGAACCAGGAACACAGCTGAAAAAAATACAAGTTCCCTGCCCTCTTGAGCTTCTTGTCCAGTGTGTCAGGGAGACAAGTGAATGAACAGGCTGTGCCAGAACAGGGCACTACCTTTACCAGTCTGGGCCCAGTCCTACCTGTCCAGCAGGGCCTTGTAGTTCAGCACTCCAGAGATGAGGTTGGCAGCAAACCTGTGGGGAGAGATGAGGCCTTAGTCTCTCCTCTCAGGGGCCCAGGCTCCCTCTCTCTCTCTCTCCAGTCTCCCTTTCTGCTTCTTTCCTCCTACCTTTCTTTCTGTCCACCTCCTTCCCTCCCTCTTCAATCTCTCTCTCTCTCTCACTCTCCCTTCCTTTCTCCCTCCCTTTCTCCCTCCCACTTCCCCCAGTCCTCTCCTCCAACTTAATAACCACTCACCAGATGCCAGGTCTCAGTAGTACCCTAATAGGATGGTATACCTGCTGCTTCCTACTCATCTCTATGCTGTCAGCCCTTCACAAACTGGATTAAAAATTGTCCCTGGGAAGAACTCCCAGAGGAGAAGACACTAGGATGTGAATGAGGAGCAAAAGAAGGAAGGAGAGGACACAGAGCAGGCAGGAAAGGGCTAGAAGACAGGGGTTGGGCTCTTCCTAGGAAAGGCTCATGCTGGGGCTGGACTGAGCCGGAACCCTGGGGCCGTAGGAAATTCAGTGTCCTGGGAAAAAGTCAGTAATTTAGTTCCCTAAGTGCTGGGGAAAAAGAAAGTAGGTGCTGAGGCAAAAGGCACCAGAGAACCATGCTATGGAATTGTGTCATCTTAACTGTTCATTGAGGAATGAGCCCTAGCTTAACCACATCAAGAGGAAAATGCCCATTGGAATGTAATTTTGAGAACTGTTCTTAAAAGTCACTCATTCATCTGCACAAGTCCTTTTGACCAGGGAAGGCCCTTGTTGCAAGGGAAGAGGGAAGGCTGCCCCCAGACCTTTGGACAAGTCTTGGTGAGAAAGGACATGTTGGAAGACTCCCAAGCATAGCTGAGTAATGCCTGTAGGCAAGATGGGCTCTGCCTTTCTTTTTCTCCTTCTGAACTGTCCCCACACTGTGTCCCATTCAAGTCCTAAAATCAGAGACCTGGATTTGGGTCTGAATGACTCTTGCAAGGAGATCCTTTCTCCTTGCCCCACCCTTGCAAAAATGGCCCTTCCATTGTCATCAGTGGGCCCAGAGGGTATTCCAGTGGCTCAGTGAGCTGTGAAATTGTAGCAGATGCACAAGATCTAGCAAAGGCAGCTGGCAGGAAGAAACCATTGCCAACTGCTCGGAGCCTCTGTTCAGAGCTGGGGACTAGAGGGCAGCTGGGACCTATCAGATCACCTGGGGCATTGTGTCCCACCAACAAGTCCCAGCCTCAAGTACTGGCAGGATGAAAGTGTAACCACCTCCTCCCAGGGCCTCAGCCAGGTCAAGACTTGCCACAGGGATATCTGGGGGCCTATGCCCTCCATTAGTGTCCACCCACCCCAAATATGTTTGTTCCTCATGTGTAGCCTCACCTAATCTCTTTCCTGACCCCATGGCCTGGACAAACCCTGAGTCAGGGCCATTTGGTCTCAGAAAGCTCTGCCAAGACACAAGGTCCAGCCTTTCCTTCCTGGTGCTAGGGCCAGGACCCCTTCCCTAGGCAGACTCCCAAGCTGTGAGCCGAAAAGCACAGTGACCTCACCTTAGCTGGTCATTGGTGTCCTGGAAGTGTTGCAGAGAAAAGATTACAGCTGGACTGGAGTTGACAGGCAGAGCTAGGCGGTTATTGAGATACATGTCATTCAGCCAGTATTCAGACACCTGTTGGGGAGATAGGGAAGGGGAGGCATTACCCACAAGGTTCACGTACACTCTGTCCAAGAAAGGGCACCTTGCTTGTGGAACACACCAATCCCATCCTGAAAGCCCCAAGAGACAATTGAGATACTTTACTGGACCATTCATTCATTCATTCATTCTACAGTACCATGTGTTTCCCAACACACTTGCCTTTCCTTTCCCTGTACTCTATTGTTTCTTCCATCCCAGGTTCCCATCTGGGTTGTTTGGTATTGTATCCCTGTCCCCTGTCCATCCTTATGAGGGTCCAATCCTTTCATCCCTCTATGCTTCCCTGACCTCATCAATACCTTCTGCTGCTCATCCCTGTCACCCATCGGCCACCCAAATTGTCCTTGTCTGTTCATCCTTGTCCCCCATCCCTTCCCCCATCTGTCAGCCCTCTGTTTACATACTATCTCACATGCCACATCTTGTCCATTCCTTGCCCTTGGCCCTATCTTTCCCCACCCTTGTCTCCCATCTGCCCCATCTTTGTCACCTACTTGTCCTTCACCAAAATCCCTCTGTCTCCAAGTCTCCCTCCTGCCCTCCTACCCCATGAATCCTATGTCTGCCCTTCAGTCAGTCTCCTCCTAACAACTCTTACCCAGTTAGCTGTCTTCTCCTGCCGCTCCAGTAGCTTCTGCTGCAGAGTCTCCCCGAGGCCACCAGGGGCCCCAAACTGCTGCACAATGGTCTGGCTCCGCCTAAACTGCTCCTTAGGCACCAGGTGCTGCATGCAACGCAGATAAGTAGCCAAGGTCTGCTGCAGTGGGGGTACTGGAAGTTTGGGAAGCCCCTGGAAGAGCGAATTCACAGGCATCTGCTGTGTCCATCCTTATGTGTGACCCTTGCCTGTCCCAGAATTGATGCCAAGTTCTGTCTTCATCTGCTGCTATCCTTGTTCCCTATCCTGAGACTCATGTGTTTTTAGGCCTCAGTTTTGTGTAGAACAGAATTGTGAACTTAGGAAGTTCCTGTTTGCTTTCTCCCATACCCCAGCCCTACCCCCAGGATGGGACAAAGTGCAGAGGAAAAGACCTTGATATTGATCCCAGACAGACTTGGATTTATACATTGACCCTGCTGCTGACCAGCTGTTTGATTTTAAGCAAATCACCCCTACCTCTATGCCTCAGTTTCCTTTCCTGTCAGATGGGTGTAATAACCTCTCCTTCTCATAGGATCAAAGAGATCATTGATGTGAAAATTCTTATCAACCATAGCAAATGGGTCTAAGATGAAATAGTCCTGTTATTGATATTGACTGCTCGTCATTCTTAATTTAAAAACCATTCCCAGCTGGAACTCCACAATCTAATTCATCTCTGGATCCAAAAGGTGTGTGACTCTAATATTTGATATTAGAACAGGTGAAAGATGGTAGGAGATATAGTTCATTGCTTGTCCTAATGACCAGAATCATGCAAGATGTTTCCTGGGAAGGTAACTTATGCTTTGGACTTCTTATTAAATCCTTTCCAGTTATGATACCCAGAGAGGGGTATTCTACTTTCTGTGGGTAAGGGGATACAATGGGGAAAAAAGTGCAGTGGATGTTCCTCTTCTTTTAATCTTCCTAAGTCTCAGCTTCCTCATTCACAGGATATAAATAACAATTCCTACCTGAGAGGGGCCCAGAGAAAATTAAATTGAGAGAAACAAGTGGTCACAACAGGTACATTATTAAATATTATAATGCTTGTGTCCTTATCCTTCCAGAAGAATTTCTAAGAGGAAACTCATAATTTCCGAGGGCCCCCCAAAGTGTGAAAAGAGTCTGGGCTCCATACTTCCCAATTTACCAGTTGTGTTCACCAGGAATCTGACATACATTTTCAACCATTTTAAGGTTTATCCTCATTGACAGGTGAGGAAGCTTAGACCCAGAGAGTGGAGAGATAGTCTAAGGTCACCCAGAAATTTGGTGACAGAGTTGACAACTGAAATCAGTCTTCATCCAATATTCTCCTTGGATGAAGGAGAATATTGCTTGCTATTGTTTGCTCCTTCCTCCTCAACCATTTTGTTCTTCCTCTATTGCTCTCTTTTCTATCCCCTTTCTTTCTTCCTCACTCAGCTGGTCACAACTGGAAACCAGGACATTTCATATTATTGCTTAAATTTTACAAAGTAGGCTGTCTTCTCTCAGAGGTTTCTCCTCTGTAGGGTGATGGGGGCAGTGAATTTCTATCCCAGGCAGGCTGTGGAATGAATGGGGCCTGCTGAAAGCCTTCCTCCACTCTGCTCTACACATAGGCTGGAGTCTCATGGCTGCCCTGGACAGATGGGACTGAGTGAACAGGTCTTGATGAATAAATGGGGTTCCTCCACTTTCCTGATCCTGTGTCTAGAGTTCAATGCCTTAGGGGGAGGGAGGAGGCTGTCATTGCTAACTAGAAGCTGTTGCCACACTGGGAGCCACTCCAGAATGGGTCTGGACAGCATTTTAGGCTAACCAACCCACTCCAGAGAACCAGGTCCAGGTCCTCCATGTAGCTAATCTGGTCTCCTCTTCCTTCTATCAGGACCTAGGAGCCTTCGTGGTGGGTAAATGGGCAAGTACCTTCAGAAAGCCAAGCCCTGTTGGTGGCCTGGCCAACAGTGACAGCAGGTCTGGCTGGAGGCCCTGCTAGAGACGGGCCACCCTTCTTGGGGGATCTGACAGTGCCCTGGGATTCAGCTTGGGTCATGGGGAATTGACAATACACAAAAAGGAATGAGGCAAAAAATCTCTGCTCGATGTCAGCCTCTTGGGGCCCCTTGCAGACTCTCATGGGCTTCTGGCCCACAAGAACAGCAGCAAGGTCTTGTTTTTATCAGGGTGTTTGGACCCTGGGTTCTCAGGTCAATACATATTTCCTGGCCAGTTTATGTGAACCAGGCCCTGAGCTCGACTCAGGTTCAATAGAGAGACAAGGTAGCAGCAACCCAAAGAGAAGAACATACCAAGGAGCAGAAGGAATGTCAGAGGTGTCAGCTACAGTAAGCAGGATAATGTGGTGAACAACTTTACAGGGAGAAACCAGAAAGTTCTGTTCAGGGTTCTAAGTGAAACCTGGGGGTGGGGATGGAGAGTGGTGTGGGTATCAAGGAGGCATCAAGAAGACAAGTATAGCAGAGCAACCAACATGTGCCATACTGGAGAGATCGAATATGCTGCACTTCACTCTGAAAGGTGAATGGAGAGGGAGGAAAGATGCTTGCCCAGGGAGGGGGGCTTATCTCAAGGTTCCAGGGCTGAACCAGTGACAACAGGTGGGGCTGGAATGTGACAAGGCTTACTTAAGGCAACTCGTCTGGGCTCAAAGCCATGGGATTTGGAAATTGGAGTGGGGGTAAGTCCTAGAGGGAAAAAAAGTATCTAGCCTAGTTTAAGGGATCTCCCTGGACTTGGAGGTTAGGAAGTTTGGCTGTAAGCATTCCTTTAGCACCCCTTGAAGCTACTCCTAGTGCCCCAATGCCTGCCTGGGCTCCTTGACAGGATCAGGGCAGGGCCACAGCCTGGGCCTTGTGCCCAGGTGAGGGCAGGACTAGGAGCCAAGCAAGTACTGGGGGCAAGTCCCACTAAACACTGTTCTGGAAGCCAAGAACATGTGAATGGGGAGAGTAGGGATAAAAGAGCGGGCTCCAAAAGTCACTCACAGGTTCCTCCTCACTGCTGAGAGTTTTTGCTGACATCTTATGGGGGGCTTTTTCCAGGATGGGCATCTTGGTGACTCCTGGTTGAGGAAACAGAAATACAGATCTGGGGACCAAGAAGCAGAAAGGCATCAACACAATAGCCACATAGACCTGACATAGACCCATCATCCCCTGTAGTCTGATGCCCACCTATACCCTGTGAGGAGGCCAGAGGGGAACAGTACTGTACAGGAGTCTCATTAAGGCCTGGCCCCAATTTTCTGGCTTCCAGATCGGCTCCCCTGACCACAGTGTCTTTTCTCAACCCCCAAGTAAGGGAGCATGGGACCTGAAGTGAGCTTACATCTGGTACCTGCTCCGTCAGACTGCTGTCATCCAGGCCCAACTGACTGCCCTGGGGAGTGTAGGAGCAGCAGGGCTGGGCTTGCCCACTCCTAATCCTCACTTGCTTTGTTTTTGCCTGGGGCCTAAAAGATGTGTGCTCTGCAGATTAAAATCTCTCTTTCCCACTAGACTGTGAACTTCTCCAGGGCAAGACCATACCTGCAATGTTTAGTGCTTCATTTCTGGAACCTAGCAGGTGCCTGGTGTGGAGTAGTATTAGTGCTGGGGAACTGAGTAAAAGAAATGCCTGTATGCATGAATACATTCCTGGATAAATACAAGGCCCTCCAAGGCCCTTCAAGGCCCTGGTTTCCAGGAGGCTCTCTGAGTTGACTGGGAGGCTGGCATATGGCCAAGGCATGGAAGGTCCTGGTGCTGGCTGATGGCTGCGGTGTAGGCAGTCTCTGGTCTGCATGTTCCCAGTGTAGGTGCCATGGGAATGCTGAGGGAGGTGGTACAGGGAAGCTGGGCAGCCCAGTCCCCAGGGACTGCCTGACAGCCTTCAGAGTAGTGGATTAATTTTAAAGGGGCAGTAGAGTGAACCAGACCAAAGGAAGCAAAGGTCAGTTTTTAAGAGCTCAAACTCTACCTTTAGAAATCCCTCTAAGCTCAGTGTAAGCCAATAGAGACATGCTTGACTACTTACCCATTCCATATTTATTCCCAAGAGCCTAAAGCTGATGTTTAGACCATTCCACCCCTACCCTACATGAATCCCAGGTAGGCACAGTCCAGGTAGGGGCTGGGCATGGGCACAGCTGGTCTAAGAGCAGAGCATCCAGAAAGATGGATGAACCCAGTCCAGTGGTGGAGGAGCCTGTGGCTGCCTGGAAATGCTGGGCAGAAAATGTAGAGTTCTTTCAGGTACTGCACCAAGTTTTCAGGACTAGGTGGTCTCCAAACTGCTGGTGCAATAGAGTGTAGCGGCTTCCTCCACCCACCACGGAAACGGCAGTATCCAGGTGAGGGTCCATACCCACCAGGGCAGGATTTTGAAAGGGCAAAGAAAGGTAAGGTCAGGTTGATAAAGACCCTAGAGGCAGTGCAGCCCAAGCTTCCTCTTTGATCTGGCGCTCTGCCAGCACCACAGCTGAAAGATACTAGTCAAAACTCAGGGACCCTATGACTTGGAGAGCCACAGGGATGGAAGCAGTATGGTTTCCTGGGGGCCAAAGGAGAGATCTTGGTCCCTGAGCCAGCTACTCTTTCTCCTTGACTTGGGCCGGTGCCTTAGAGGGTGTATGTGTGTACATGTACCTTTCTGTCTATCCGTTTGGTGCTCTCCCACCATCCAGGCTTTCAAATGCTCCCCGCAGAGATCTCCGTTCTGCCCCGGAGGCCCAGCTCCAGCTTGATTCGGCACCGCAGGTGAGCCCCTCTGGACAGTCCAGCCCCTCTAGAGACTCCCCCAGACCTGGCTCAGGCTTGCTACCGTCGCCCTCTCCCCACCTCCTGCCTCTTCGAGAGTGGGAGAGAGGCGAGTGCTCTCTAGCACTTGAGGGTGGTCTGGGAGAGACTTGCAGACCCTCTGACTGGGCACAGAAAGTGCAGACCTTGGCACTCAGCGGATAGAGGTCCAGAAAAAGTGAGAACATGCACGTGGAGCCTCGGAGCCCCTGATGATCAAGGCTCTCCAAGCCCTTTCCCCCAAACGTCTCATCGTCCGGCTCCCTTGTTCCCTGCCCCCACTCTTTGTGGGTAAGCACCAGACCTGCGGAGTCCCTCAGTCTCCTGGTGGTGCCACGACGGCCGCTGCCGTTCAGGACTAGGAGGACTCCCAGAGTCCCGGGACCTCTGGTCCCTGCGCGGTGTCTGGACGGAGACTTCCTCTGCTCGCCGCCCTGCGTGCCGCCAGCCCAGCCCTTCTCACCTGCTCTCCTAGGCTGCACCGCTCAGTCGCCGCTGCACCTCACCAGGACTGGAGACGGGAGTGTGAGCTCAAGGGATCCGAGAGCTCATCAGCAGAGAGAGCGTGGGGGTTGCCACCTCTGTTGGCTGTAGAGCCTCCGACGACTTTTGTAGGGTTCCCCCGGGCTCCGGACCGGCTCAGCGATCCGGCTGCGCCTGTTCTCTCCTCTTCTTGTTCCTCCTCCCTCCCCTCTGTTCTTTTCTTCCCTTCTCCAGCCCCACCCCTGTCCTTCCTCTCTCTCTCTCCCTCCCTCCCTCTCTCTCCTTTATCCCTCACCACCTCACTCTCCGCAGCCTTCCCGGATCCCACCTCCTGCAACGCCCCCACTGCGCCATCCCAGCTGGGGTACAAGGGCAATAATCCAGGACTGAGAAGGGTGTGCAGAACTTCGCCCGAACCATGCCATCCGCAAGTCCCCTATCTCACCCAAGCCATTATCCTAGCCGCAGCCGTGTCTGCAGAGCTCTGGGGAGGATTTGGTCTGGGGAAATCTGTGCCCTTCCCATCCTCTAGGCCATACTCAAATACTACATACAACTCCTTCCAAAATAAAAGCAACAACGACAACAATGATGGTGGTGGTAACAGCAACCTGTTTGTTAATCACAGCAGGTCCTCTCCATCCTGGATGGCACTACTGGGATGAGGAAGGATACAGACTAGGGGATGCTTAGAGACAGGCAGCCAGACTCCTCCCAGACAAAGCACTCCTCCCCCTCCCCACATATAGATCATTACACACAACACACAGACAGACCCGTAAAGACAGACCCTGTCCAGACAAACACACAAAGCCGGACACACATACCGAGGGAAGACTGTGCACACACAGCATCCAGATCCATACAGCCGTTACAACCCTGGCGGGCTCTCCTCACACTGGAATGGGAGCACTCTGCAGCCTTAAGCAGGCCACAGGCTCCAGGACTGGGAGTGGCACACAAACGCATGCCTGGAGTTCCTGGGTACCAGAATTCAAAGTGGGCAGTTGCTTCCCACTTTGGGTTGGGTGGGGAGGGGTGAGGGGGTGGCACCAGATCCTACACTGGTATCCTCTCCAGTCCAGGCTCAGACCCAGGAGGCAGGGACACAGCAAGACACTGACAACTGTTTTCCTACTCCTCACAGGATAGACCCTGACTCTCAAACAAACACACACACATCACACACACGTTTCCAGAGATGGAACCTCTGCCCAGAACAGCTCTGCCCCTACACCTTGTGGGCATCTAGACAGGTAGGATGCAGGGTTCAAGGGAAGCCCAGCCGTTGGAGCCTCAGAAGTTTGTATCTGCAGGGCGTGTGCTATGGGTGGGGGGGAGGGTGGGCTATGTACAGTGCACTGAAGGGAGCGGATTTCAGTTTACCCTGGGCCGCATCCTGGGGCACTGTGCTGGGCTGTCTTGGGCTAAAGGGATATGAGGGCTTGGATGTCCATGGGTGAGAGAGAGCCCTTGTTGGGTTTGCTTCTTTCCTACTTTCTTCTTATTCGGGTAGCAAAAGAACCACAGGTTCCCCGCGTGCCTGCAGGGCTGGAACTTGGATTGGGGCTAGACTCAACTCACCCTCCCCTCTGTCCTGGCCCTGTGCCTGGCCACCCATCCCCATCAGTAAAGAGACTCAGTCTGGGACAGATTTCTTTATTGACTCGGCCCGAGACACCGCTGTGCAGCAGGCCAAGGAACGGAAGGGAGGGCAGACAGACATACAGTCCTACACAGGGTGGCTCCGAGATAGAGACTCGCATGCCTCGTTCTCTGTGCAAAGAAGCGCATCGCACTATGTGCCTCGGTGCTCCACACTACTAGACGAGAGGGAGAGGGACACAGAAAAGGTCATGGAGAAGGAACATGGGCAGAGGAACTAAAGACTGGGGCTGGCTCCAGGGTACTCGCTGGAGGGGCAGGCCCTGAGCCTGAGCTGGCCACTGTGCTCACAGAACAGCCACCTTGACCTGAGGGGTAGGAAGGGGGTGGTGGTCTGGAGGAGGAGCAGAGTTGCTAGCTGCGGGTGTAGTAGTCGTTGTAGTCGTCCTCGCACTCATCAAAAGGGCCCCGTGCACCGCGAGGCGCGCTGTCTGAGTCGGACACAGGGCACTCACGCAGGCGCACCGCATCGTACAGACCCTGCGGGGGCTCCTCCAGCAGGACGTCGCGCTCAGAGTGGGAGCGCGTCAGGAGGCCCACATTGCGCAGCAGCAGTAGGACAGGAGCGTAGAGCAGGTTGGCCAGGCCCATGCCAAGGCTAAGCTGCGCAAAGCCGAGCGAATGCACGATATGGCCCGCCACTATGGGCCCCAGCGCATAGGCCACGGAATAGGAGATGTCGGCGATGGCATAGACACTCCCGTAGACTGAAACGTGGCGCACGTCCACGAGAAAGGCGAGAGTGGGCAGCAGAGCCGTGTCGACCAGAGCAATGCCGAAGCAGAGGCCGCAGAGCGAGGCCACTAATGGTGCAAAGGAGCCGCAGGCAGGCACCACGCACGAGCTGGCACCGATCACTGCCAGCCCCAGTGCGCCGTAGAGCCACTGCAAGTGTGGGTAGCGCGCCGCCAGGCGCACGGTGAGGTAGACGCCTAACACGTGAGGCACAAAGGCCGGCAGCCAGACCATGCCCATCTCCCACTCTGAAGCCGCCATTGTGTGCTTCATCCACGTAGCGATGGTGGGTTCGAGGAAAGCAAGAGGGATGTTACAGGTAGTGAGTGCGCCGGCCACCACAGCGATGTAGGGGTCCAGCATGAGGCGGTGGATGGGTGTGCCCACAGGCAGGTTGGCCCGCGCCCGCGCGGCAGCTGAGAAGGGCTTGGCCACCACCAGCAGCAACAGCGCGTCGAGCAGTGACACCGCGGCGAGTACCAGAAAGGGCACCCGCTTGCCCGCGAACTCATAGAGGATGCCCCCGAAGGGCGGTGCCACTAGACTTCCAAAGCTGATGAAGGCCAGCGCTACGCCCAACGCGCGACTGCGCTCCGGCTCCTCTGGATACTTATCCGCGATCATGGCGATGCCAGATGTATCTGCGAACGCCGAGCCCAGGCCTTGCAGGCTGCGCGCGGCGAAGAGCGTGGCATAGTCCTCCGCGAAGGCAAACAACACTGTAGAGGCGAACATGACACCGAGGCCGATAAGCAGCGGCACGTCGTAGCTCATGCGATCGATGAAGGTACCGCTTAGGGGATTCACCAGAAGCTGCAGGATGGCCTTGGAGGCAAACAGCACCCCGATCTTCACGTCCTCGCTCTCCGTGGGGTAGCGGGGCCGCAGGGCAGACCCGGCCGGCCGCGAAGCCGTCGGGGGCTCTGAGCTGTTGAGCGTGTTGGCACTAGCATTGGCTGGAGTGGGCGGCGGCAGGGTAGGCACCCACACTTCTGGGGCTGGGATGGGACTCTCGCTGCCCCCGCGCATGTGGGCGATGTAGTCAGGCACGATGGGCACGATGACCATGTACAGCATGTTGTCCAGGAATAGCGCCACGCACACGATGACCAGCACCAGGCGCCGCTGCCGCCGGGGCTCCTGGAGCGTTGCGCCCACCGCCTCTGACAGCTTGGTGGCTGCTTCTCGGACCTGGTCCGCTGGTTCCATTGTCCCCACCCGGCCGCACTTCCGAGGACACCGCCACGGGGCCGAACGCAATCGCCCTGCAGGACCGACACTAGAGCTCAGAACTTCGGGGGCGCGGTCCGTGTCGCGCAGCACCCCCTGTGCCTCAGGTAGCTGTAAGGCTCATGGCCCTGCACCTCAGGAAAGGCAAAGACCCGGTTCGGAGAGACGCCGGCGCTGTTCGGGGTGGAACCTCAGACCCTCTGCGGCTGAGCTCAGGGGTGATCAGGAAAGGCGGGTGCGCAGAGGGGTCTGGGCCGGAGCCTTCCCCGTAGGGCGGAGAGATGGCTCGCGCGGGCCGAGGGGCATGCTGCCGCCTCCCGTCCGCCGGCTGCTCGCCCTGCAGCCGGTTTCCCCTCCCCTAGCGCTGACTCCTGCCTCCTCCTCCTCCGCCTCCTCTTTTTTCCCTTTCCACTCGGGGCTGTGACGATGCGAGTCTCGGCCCCCGAGTGGTGCCCGGGCCACTAGCGTCGCTCATGCTAATGCGACGTCCGCTGGGCGGGAGCCGGGGGCGGGGCGCGGCCCGGTGGGGGTCTCCTTCCCAGAGGCGCCGGGGCTGAAAACCCCAGAAAGGGGTCTTGGTACGGAAAGAGTCCTGGCTAAGTCCCTGAAGATAATGGGTGCTGCGTGCGAGGAGCTGGCTTTCTGCCCACCTTCCGCCCCTAGTTTGGACCCAGCGGGTCCGAGTCCCCTTTTTTCCCCCTGGGAGGGGGCGCACAGCGGCTGCTTTTACCCCGCCCAGCAGGAGAGGGGGGCGCCGGGGACTCCAAATTTCCACCGCAGCCTGGATCTCCGAGGACAGAGGGCAAGGAGTCCCCGAGGTGAGCCGCAGCCTCATCCATCCGTTCTAGTAGCTGGATTGTGGGGCTGAGACTCGAGGAGCTTAGGGTTCAGATACCCCAACCCTTCTTCTCGCCCCGCCCCCTGGCCCTTTCTACCCCTGGGAGGGGAGGGTGAGGCGCTTAGATTGCAGGGCGGTGTTCCGATGACCCGCCCTTCAGGAAAATGTCAAAGCAGAGAATTCCTAAGAGAATCTGGGGATTGAGGAGAAAAGTCGCTTAGTTCCTACCGGGCCGGGGCCCCCAGAGTATAAGCACTGCTTCTCCCACTCTCCTGCACAACCTCGCCATCCCCTCCCAGACAGTAGACCCCTTTTCCTCTTTAACTGTCCAGGTCCCCCAGCTCCGCCTCTTCTCCCCTCCTTCCTCCTCACCCCTCCTCCACTAACTCCTCCCAGGCTCTGTGCTCACCAGTGAATAACCCCGTCTTGGGCTCCTGGTAGTCCCGCCCCGTTCCCTACTCCCAACTCTCACCCCTCCCCAACCCCAACGCCACCCCCCCCCCACGCCCCGCCACCTCCGCCACCCATCTCCAAAGCTGCCTCCAAGTCCCGGGTGGACTCG